TACAGAAGATAAATAATTAATAAGTAATAGAACGAATTAAAGTCGTGCTATTAATGCCATAATCATACTCGTGATTAACAAATCAACCTCCCGCTACGCGGTCGGTTGATTTTGTAATCACTCGTATGATTATGGCATTAATAGCACTCCTATTCGTTCTATTACCATCATTAATTGCACTCTCCAGGAGTGCAATTAATGATTTTCGTGATGACTGGGTTTTCGTGATGGCGGGGGGATGTGCCTTTATGAGTTTATAATTATTTCCCAAGTTTGTTTATACCAAATTGCTTACAAAAAAATTAAAAACTCTTGACAAAATGCAGTTGAAATATAAAGAAAGCGATTTTGTCATGTATATAATAAATAAATAATGATTAACACTACTCGTGATATTTGAAAAATGTGCCAAATTGCACTCGCCTCGGCGGCTCGTGCAATTTTGGCACATTTTTCAAATATCACTCGTAGTGTTAATAATTAATTGCACTCCTTCCCGTGTGATTACCTATACTAAAGTGTGCTCTCCCCTTGACGAGTAAAATCGTCTGGCGTTAGACAGTGTAAAATAATAAAGTAGGGTGCATCAGGGCACAATGCAACTCAATGGGTTAACTGGATCGTCTGGAGTTAGACAGAGTAAAATAATAAAGTAGGGCGCAATGTGACTCGATGGGTTAACAAGTAAAATTGTCTAGCTTTACTGTAGTACATCTTCCAAGGGGGGCTGGATTTGGGGGGGCAGGCCTACCACTTTTAGTTGCATGGGGGGGGCTGCTTTTTTTTAACCCTCAATTAAACTATTACAGTAATCTGAAGAGCTGTTTATATAGTCTCCGGGTATTAGGGAAATCCTATCCCCCCGAGCCACCCTGGCAAGGCAAAATTATATTATCCTAATATAGCAACTATCATATCCTATTATAGCAACTGCCATGCAAGTGTTTGCATGGAAAGTTTTGAATTTGTCTTGCCTAGTGGGATGATCCAGGTAGTAGTGTCACTCCCTCAGGGGGTACAGCATCTCTATTACTTGAGATTAATTATATAAACATTGGCTGAGGCTATGTAAAATTGGTAGGCATTCCAATAAGATCAAATAGTCTCAGGTTTTTCCCAATCAGGTGAACAAATAACATAGTTGTAAGATTCTGCATCTGATTCATTGTAATGAATAATGTACTGTAGTTCAACAGGAATGAGTGGCAATCTAGAAAAGCAAAATAAAAAATAAAATAAATAAACAGATTAGATTATTAAACATGTACAGTACTACAGTGACTTGGCATGTCTGAGAAATTGATCTTTGAGAGCCAAAAAAAGGTTGTCATTGTTGTAAATAGCACTCAACAGTTTAGAAACGTTTTAACGTTTTAATTGATAACATTATATTGGGTTAGCTGTGTTCTTATTAATAACCGCGTTGTTTATCGCGGGCTCAGGTTTTGTACGTTCGTGTTACGTTTCACGTTTGTGTGCTCGAGGTGTAAATATAAAGTTTATATTGTTTTCCGAAGATTTATATTAAAATTATAAACTAAATTGAACAGTCATTGCACTGTCAATAACCAATGCACTAATCTAGGGGAATCACTGTAAAGTATAATTTGGCCAATCCTCCACCATTGGGTCAACATATAAGTTAAATAAAGTCTATATGAGTACTTTAGAGTACTATGTCCATGACTCCATCAGTTTATGTTGAATGTTGATGTTCATTTTCGTATCTGAATGCTGTTTATGCAATGTTTAAATTAACGACAACCCTTTGATACAACATTGCACTTCACAAAAATATATTGATAATTTGATATATATGAGCTAGAGAAAAAAAACTCACATATAAAGTTGCCAAGTTCCAGCTGGAGTTCATGTCTACACAATCGAATCTTCAGATTGCCAGAAATTCTCACTCCTTCGGGTGTCTTTTCTCATTTTCGCCGTTAAAAATGGTATTCGTTCAATTCCCTTTTGCTAAGAAGACGCAGTGTACCATTTATTTGCAAAATTCGTGCAGAAAATGAAGATTGATCGGTTACTGCGCTTAAAATCGCCGTTTTACTGCCAAAATTTTGCATTTCCCTATCTATTTCCTGATAAAAAATGTGTATGACACTTGCCAGAGGGTCGCGCATGCGCATTAAAAAAGTGGGGACATGATTTGCCTCGAGTTCCGCCTCTGTATATCTTTACTCTGTGCCAGGGCTATGTCGCCGCCTTCAATTCACGACTAGCCCTGGGTACGAGGTTGATCGGAAAATAAGAGAAAAATCATTTCTACAATTTATAATACAGTAAAACCCCGCATATAAGAACCTAGATTTTCCAAGTTAGCCTAAACAGGTTATTATGTAAATAGTGCTTACCAGGAAATTAACCTAAACAGGTTCTTTAATAGGTTCTTATTTTCTTAAGAGAAAAGCGAATCATTTTAGGAAGGTATGGTATATGATTTATATAAGAGGGTCTGAATGGGGTTAACTGACAACTGACAAACGGCCTTAAAGATAACTGTTAACTGACAAATAACGATTTTTTTAACTGTTTACTGACAAGTAAAACTTTACTGTTAACTGACAATTGAAGTTTGATTGGACTTTTTTCCATACTTCGGTGACTCTTTGATCAGGGGTAAATTAGAAATCCGAATAAAAGATCGAATTAATCGCCATAAAACACATAAAATTCGTGAAAGTCAGAAAA